CAAGACGGCAAAGTCTGCATCTGCTTCCCTTCCTAGAATCTCCTTCCATGGGGAATGACGGTCAGCCTAGAGCGGAAGGCTGTGTGGAGCCTGCGCAGCTGCTGCAAGGACAGGCAGTGAGCCCATCCCTGCTCCTATGTCCCCAGTGGTCTGATCTTGGGCAAGTGCCTGAGCTTCTCTCAGCCCATGGGTATGATACTCATGGTACTTACCTCATATCTGGGGCAAACGATTAAAGGAAAATGACCCATGTACATACAGATGGATCAAAGCTGGAAGGGCCACTGGAACGCATCTCGTCTGAGGACTGCCTGTTGCTCAGGATGCAGTGTGTTTGACACAGAGAGCAGATCTCAGGCTGTACCCACACCAGACATTACTTAACTTTTGCTGTGTAACAACAACCCACCCAAACTCAGTGGCTTCGAGCAATATCTCGCAACTCTGCAAGTGACCTGGGCAGTTCTTGTGGTCTGGGTCAGGCTAGCCAGTGCCGAGGGTTCTAGGATGGCCTTGTGCACTCGTCCTGGGCCTGGGCCTCAGCAGAGATGTGTGCAGTCACACTTGCCTTGATCTCTCAACCCCCAAGAGGCTGTGGTGGGTTTGTTCAGCAGGTAGCAGAAGGCCCACAGTAAGGAGGCAACTCCAACTCCCAGGCCCCTTCCACGCCTCTGCCTGGGTTCAGGGGCCTCTGCTGCCTCCACGGCCCAAAGCACGTCACAAACCCAGGTGAGAGTTCTCTGGCGGGCAGCCCCCAAGGGCATGGAACCTGGGAAGCATGAACAAAGTGGAGGGGTACGGGTTTGTAGCTCAGTGATAGAGCACTTGCCTAGTACGTGTGAGGCGCTGGGCTAGATTCCCAGCATGGCATATAAATAAATTTAAAAAATAAATAAAGGTCCATTGACAACTAAAAACAATACTTAAAAAAAAAAAAGAACAAATTGGGTGGGGGAGGTTTGGCAGTCTCAGTCACCCTCACTGTGCCCTTCCTAAATGTTTTGGGTCACATAGCCCTGTATTATGGATCTTGGGCTGCCATAGCAAGATAATAGGCTAAGTGGCTTAAACATTAGAAATTCACTTTCTTACAGCCCTGGAGCCTGGAAGTCCAAGCCCAAGATAACAGCATGGTTAGGGTCTGGTGAGGGCTCTTTTCCTGGCTTACAAAGGGCCACTTTCTCATTGTGTTATCACATGGCCTTTCCTCCGCAGATGTATGTGGAGAGAGATCTCTCTTCCTCTCTTTATGAGGCCATCAAACTGTAAGGGTAAAAGAAATTGAAGTTAAAGTGTAAAAGACCGGGCATTGTAAAGTTTCTAAGCTGCAAGGCCTGAGTTAAAAAGTAAAGGACCAGGTATTGTTAAGTTCCTATGCTACATGCAAAACCTGAAATTCCTGTAGCTGTTAGGACAATACTCAGAACTGCCCAGTAAATATTTCCCCTGACCATCTGGTTGTTTAATAACCTAGGACCCTGTGCGGCCTGGCACGTAGGCATCGCAGGACCTAAACCAATCAGTTTGAATGGGTACCCTGCTTTAGAACTGACCTATCACCCCCGCCCAACCTGTGAATGTACTAATCATGTCTCAGAATTGTTGTTTGATTTTCCCGCGGTGTATGATGATTTGTTAAAGGAGACTGTGATGTATGTAAAGTCCCTGCCCTCCCCAAAAAGTGTACTTAAGCGCTGCTCAACTCCTGCTCGGGGCTCTGGGCTGCTCTCCCTTCTTGAGTGAGCACGGAGCCCCAGCGCGCTGGATTGGATCCTCAATAAACCCCTTTTGCTGTTGCATGAGCCACGGTCTCTTGGTGGTCTCTTCCTCCGACGTTCGTCGGACCCTTACAAAACCAATCATATTAGGACCCCACCTTTATGAACTTATTTAACTTTCATTAAGTCCCAAAAGCCCTATCTCCAAATATAGCCACATTAGGAATTAAGGCTTCACACATGAATTTGGGGGTATCACAATTCAGTGCATAGAAACCCCTAATTTTTAAAATTCTGCATCTCCAGTATATACATATTTATGTAGGTATTGTCTACATATTCTATTACAATGTTTAAGTAGACATAGAGTTGAAGATTGAAAGTAATACATTAAGTATTAACTTTTGTCTTTTTACTGTTAGTAACTAATATTCCAAGGATAGTAAACATTGAGAGTGAGCTCTCACATGGATGTAAGTCCATCTTTCAAGTCCACCTGCATGGAAGTCCATTTCTGGATCATTTTACTCTGAAGGGCAGGGGAGCTGTCTTCCTGTTGGATCTCTCATTTTTAGCCCATCATGTATAGACATGAAGCGCGTACTGAGCACATCAGCTCTGATAATTTCTTATTTTCTAAAAATAAGAAAATATGTTAAAATATGTTAAAACTGTTTTTCTGTTTTATAAGGAGGAGTCTAGTAATGTCGATGGTGTGTTTGTAAACCCACTTGCCCAAGGGCACGTAGACCTCAATGCCCAAATCCCCTGGGCATTGAGGCAGGGGGTGGTGAGGTTACCCCCTGGTGACCCCACATTGTAGAGCTTCCAGGGTGAACCTGTGCTGTGGTGATGGGGGACCCTCTACACACTGAAGGAAGCCACTAGTGTCAATCTGAATCTTTGTGGGTTGGGAAAGCACAAGTGCTGTCTTATTTTTTAGCTCCCAAATGATATTTTCCCTACAATGTAGTGAATTTGTTGAACACCCCTCTTGGAGACCCCTGATTTGTTTTGTCAAAGAAAAATACCCAGATGCAGTTTTGCACATATTAAAATGTGAAATAATCTCTTATGCCAACATTAGTAATAGTAATTGAATATTTTATATAAAAGTGGTATGTAGAGCTTTTTTGTTTCTTTTTGTTGTTGTTTGCTTGCTTTTTGGTTTGGGGTTTTTTGTTTATTTTGTTTGTTTGTTACCAGGGATTGAACCCAGGGTCACCTAACCACTGAGCCACATCCCCAGGCCTTTTTACTTTTTATTTTACTTAGGGTCTCGCTAGGTTGCCTAGGCTGGCCTTGAACTTGCCCTCCTCCTGCCTCAGGTTCCCGCCTTGCTGGGATTACAGGTGTACACCACTGAGCCTGGAAAGGGCTTGCTCTTAATGTGAAATTGGAGGCCTATGGGACTGTGGGTTATTTTCTCATAAGAATCCAAAAGGGGCTTCGCATCTGTATCAGTTTGTGGCCCCTCTGGAGGACCTTCTCAGCATCTCCTCCACCCCCAGTCCCCACTCCTGGGCTGGGCTTTAGGACTCTGGTCCTATGTCTTATAGGCTCCTATAGCTGTCATATATGACCACAAACTGGGTTGCTTGAAATGGCAGAAATCTGTCCTCGGACGGTTCCGGGGGGTTGTCGCCAGCTCTGCACTCCCTAGGGAGGACCCTTCCTTGCTCCTTCTAGCCCCTAGTGCTGCCAGCATCCCTCAGCTTGTGACGCTCTGCTATGTCTTCATGCTGCCCTCTCCTCCACAAGTCTGTCATCTCCTCTGCCTGTCCAGGTGTCTTTGGCTTCAGTCCCACCTGGATGACCCAGGATGATCTCACCTCAAAATCCCCAGTTATATCTATAAAGATCCCATTTCCATATAAGGTCAACTCTCAACCCACTGCCCATGTCCTTCCATAACCTTCACGCATGGAGTGGGGCCCAGAAGGAGAGTCATAGTCCCTACTATGCAGGGAAACACTCTCTTCCTGTGTTTCTCAGTAGCAATGGCTCCACATGCTTGAGACTTGGAAAAAAGCACCATAAGGGCCATTACAGCTCCTTCTCCCTGTCTTCCGACCACTGTTTCCATGCATCTCTCTCCTCGAGGGATTCTTCAAGGCACCCTCCAGGGTGGCAGGGAAGGGGGCAGCTGTTTGGGATCTTGTCATGTCAGCACAAGGGCAGCAAAGCCTGGCAGCCCAGCGGTAGAGCCAGCTGGGGAGATTTTCTCCTGGCTTCAGAGTCTGACCACTTCCACGTTTAGCAGGGTGTTTGTCCATGATTAGAGTTGCTGAATTAGCAAATAAGAATACAAGGGTCCTGCTGAATTTGCTTGTGGTGTTTTTGTATGTCTTATTTAATATTTTAAAACCTATGATGTAATATTCAGCATCTTCTCCACCCCCAGGCCCCCTCCTGGACTGGGCTTTAGCACTCTGGTCCTATGTCCTGTAGCTTCCTATAGCTGTCATAAATGACCACAAACTGTATCCTCAGGAATTCAAGTTTAACTAGGTGTCCTGCATAAGGACTCTCCTTCCTTTGCACCCTCTTCTTCTTTCCTTCCTTTGTCCTTCCTCCCTCTCTCCCTCACTTCCTTCCTTCTCCCTTCAAAAACATCATTGTTATGAGACTACAATCTGCCGAGTCCTATTGTAGGCACAAATAAAGCATCACGTTTTCCTTCAAGGTTTTCAGAGCATAGGGAAGGGGGTAAGCTGGGGCCAAATGCCTTCAGCACAAAGTGACCTCCCACCACAACCATGAAGGTCCATACAGTTTCCAGGCTTGCGGAGAAAGGACCGATGAATTATTCAGAGTAGAGAAGGATGCAGTAGAGGAAAGAGCTTGGGAGGAGGTGCAGGGGAGAGAGCCCTTGAGCCCACCCTTGAGGGACAGGTGAAAAGAATAGAGAGCTATTCCGGCTGAGGGTGGGGTCTGGTGAAGACAGGCGGGAGAAAGACATGCTCTCCTCTGGGACCTTGAAGCTCTGTCGTGGCTGCGTTGGCGAGGCAGAGCGGGCTGTGTCTTGGATGGTGGTGGTGCAGATGTCAGGAGGTGGGGCCAGAAGTTTGGGTGTCAAGGGTAAAGAGCTCTTTACACCATGCTAAGGAGCCCGAGATGGGTTTTGAGAGACTGAATATAAAAACAGACAAGGGTCAGACCCGAGGTACAGCAGATCTCTGCCCCACAACCTGTGCTGCAATCTGCCCAAAGCCACACCACAGCAATTAATCAGAGATGGGCCTTACCAGCAACTGACTTTTGCTCCCACTTCCAACTCAGGATCCATCACATAAAATGCTCCACTTCTAGCTAGCTCACCTCAGCTTCTCCAGGCCAACCACCTCCAGCCAGAGCACATCTGAAGCTTCCTGTTTCTTCACCACAAAGCATCCCCGCCTATTTGCCTGCCTGCCTGCCTTTGAGTTTCTGCTCTAAATAAATAGCTAGCATGTTCTTATGTGAGTGGTTTTCATTTATTTTCTCATTTATATGGACTGGACACATTGCTTTTTAAGAAGGAGAGAGGGGGCAAATAGCCTATCTATAGCACTAATATAACAACAGATAGTGATGGCATTTGGAGTTAGACAACTCTGCTTTTGGGACCCTTTGCATTCTACACACAAATTTGTGCACAAATGTGGGTATTTGAATACCCAAATACCCATGTGCACCTGAATATACCCAAATTATTTTAGATACTGAAGAAAGGGCTGGTCACTTAAAGTGCTGTTTTTAAAAAAATCATTAAAGTTACCCTTTTCTTTTTGATTCAATATTTTGTTTCCTTTTGTGGTAAATTGTATATTGACCCCAAATCTTCCCCCGTGCATATCATCCATGCCCTTAGCCATTCAACTCCACAGTGTGTCCCACTACATGGGAAGAGTATGGTTTCCTGTCCCTTGATGCTGAGGGTCCCAGGAGACCTGGTTTGGACAATGGGCTGTTGACAGACATGCTGTAAGCACAGGCTGGAAGCAAGCTCACACTGGGATTGGGCCTTAATTTCGCTCCTATCACCATGAGAAGAACATGCCCAAGCTGGTCCCACTGGCCACAGGAGGGGGATGAGAATCAGGTGAAGCCGAGCCATCTCTGGCCAATCATTTTTTCCATTAGGCAGTGACAAGTTGACCCAAAACTAATGAACTGAATCTATGGCTTTTTGTCTATGCTTTTGAAATCTTTGTGGCTGTTTGTTATGCAGCACTCCTGTGCCAATAACTATTACACCTTTGATTTCAGAATTTTAAGAAATATTTCATTATCATTTGTAAGTGATTAGTAATAACATATCTTATTGGTTGCTACCCAAATCCAGTCTTTCCTACTGGTAGAGCCTTGACTTTTTCACCCTCTGCCCAGTCTGGAAACATGTTCTCTTCAATCCCAGAGGTCAAATCTTCATGAGCGCAAACCAACTTCGTTTTTTGGCAATGTGTGGAGGACAGAGCATATATCAGTTATACCCATTTGAGATGTGAGTAGTCTGCTGAGGGTTTTCTGTGAAGGTTCCCTTCCTCTTATAAAACAGTCTGTGAGGCATTTGACTTTCGGAACTCTCTTGGGACCACAATTAGCAAGCCTCAGAGTTGCCCCAACTCAGGGCCACTTGGTACACATCCCTGCTGCTCTGTGCCAATTCTTCTAAGCTGATATAGATAACTTCTCAGAAGAGGAAAAACCCAAGTTGGAGGGAGGGATGTATTGGTTTTCTTTTCTTTCTCATGTTTTTATCCAAGTGACTCATCAAGGGGACAGAAATTCTAACAAAAGTTTTAAAGATGAACATAAAACCCAGTGGATGACTGACATTTAATTTTCAGAGCTCCATTGTGGCTTTAAAGTGAAATGGCTCTGGCATCTCTATATGGCTCTGGACGTCTTGCCCAGTGATGGGGGAACCCCTTGAGGACAACTTCAGAACTCTGGATTAATCCACAAATGCCAGAAGAAGTTCAACAATCATAGGTCCCTTGGTAATGATCCATCCTTCTAAAGAAAGACTCCCAGAATCTGTCACTGCGGAGGTGCTTTTGGTGGCCTAGGGGAAGTGGACCCTTCTTATAAGGTGGCAGCTGAACTCCGAAAAGCAAATTTAGTCCACAAGAAGGATCTATCTCTGGCACACGGAGCAAACTCTCCCATATGACGCATTTGAATTCTGTAGACAGTACCTCCAGGATACACATTAAAATGTCATTAGATTTCATCTAAACCTGCAGATCATTTAGATAACTTAATTATCCCCTCCTCCCATCCTGTGCTGAACAGGGATAAGCTAGGGCCAGGTTAGCTTTTGCTTTGCTAGAGACGCCTTCCACCACATAAAAAAAATGAGATCTGGGAGTGTTCAGACAACTGAACTTCAGGCTACTCTCTCCACCCACCAACTTTCTGCCGCCACTTCCCTGAGTCTTTTTGCCCCTGGGACATCTCTCTCCCAATGGCTGCCTGGCAAACTCCTTATTGTCCAGCAACTGCAAAGCTCATGTGCTGAAGAGACGGGTGGTTGAAGTCAGGTCAACCTGATTGTGCCTCTGCTCTGTCCCCAGTTAGTAGGGTGACCTCAGCTTTTCTGAGCCAAGTCTTGGTTTCTCACCTGTAAAATATGAATCCAAAATATGAATCATGATTACCCCGCCTTGGGCCTGTGCTGAGGAGAAAATGTGCTAACGTAAGAGGCCCTGGCATGGACCGAAGGCCTTGATCTATGTTGGCTGTTGTTCCAGAACAGCTCACCACAGAATCATAAAGCTTCATAGCCAGAGGGACGCAGAGTAGCTCTCCTGCCAGGTGCAAATGGACCACCTGGGGACACTGTCAGAATGCAGGTTCTGAATCAGAAGTTCTGGGGTACACCTCAGCTTGGGTGTTTTGTTTTGTTTTGTTTTTGGTTGTTTTGGATTTCTTACAAGTTCCAGGGCATGCAGCTGCTGCTGGCCCTGTGACCACACTTGGAATAGCAAGGCTTTAGGAGACTTCCTAACTGTTTGGTGGAACAGGAGGAAGCCCCAAGAGGGGCTGCTCCTAGCCCAGGGAGATCCGAAAGCTGCTGAGAAAAGCAACCCAGAACAGTCTGCCTGGTGGAAAGAGTCAAAGCCCCTGCCAATCAGAAACAACCAAGGGAGGGTTATCTGTAAGTGGTGAATGCGCTTCCTCCACCCTAAAGGCCAACGCTCCAGTGGCTGAACAAGGGAAGCTGTGTTCCTGACTCTCAGATGGGAAGAAAAGGGAGTGAACTGGACAATTTCAAGAACAAAGGCATTCAGCTCCAGGGAGTGGGGGTGTCACCGAGGGAGCACAGAAGCCCATGGCCTCCGGGCCAGCAGCACAAAGCATAGCTGAGAAGGCACAGCCTAGGACACTACTTCTCTCAGAATATCCTAAAAAAAAAAAAAAAAAAAAATCAAGATTTCCGGGAGACTCGGGGAGGGCTCAGGAATAGTCAGTTCTTTTCTGATAGAAGATATTACTAGATTTCCTATGTGATGAAGCATACAGGTCGTTCCTCTCTGGTGAGGCACTGGGCTGCGCGGCTCCGCTGGGTGGCCCTACAGTTTCCCTAGTGTAGCATTCCTTAATTAAGAGGACAGTCCATTCTGTGGCACCACCTGTGGCACTGTCCCCCTGCCCCCCCCCCGCCCCCAGTCTCATGGCTCATCATCATGGACTCTACTTCCCCACACCGGCTCTGTCTCCTATTTAGCTCATGCTGAGCTCAGCTCACGCTCCCAGGCACAGCGAGAAAGGGACCAACTAAAGAAACACACTGGGGACTGGGGTTGTGGCTCAGAGGTAGAGCGCTCGCCGACCATGTGTGAGACACTGGGTTCGATCCTCAGCACCACATAAAAATAAAATAAAGATATTGTGTCCACCTATAACTAAAATAATAAATATTAAAAAAGAAAGAAAGAAAAACACACTGTTCATGGAAAGAGCTAGAACCTGCCATCCCCTGATGCCGTCGTTTTGAGGAGGCTCAGCTGGGTCCTAAGACAGCTGCATAACAAGCTCCATGAGCAGCCACCCCATTGAAGGTCAGCACAGCTTTTCCCGTCAAGTTCTGGAAGTGGGAGCAAGACAGTCACCGGGTGTCACTTATACCCAAAGGGCCTCAGGAGCCCAGAGATGTAAATACATCAATTCTTCGTATTACGACAATGATTCCAGCAATTCTTGTCATTTTTTTTAAATATTTATTTTTTAGTTGTACACAATACCTTTATTTTTTTTAATTTATTTTTATGGGTTGCTGAGGCTCGAACCCAGGGCCTTGCACATGCTAGGCGAGCGCTCTACCGCTGAGCCACAAGCCCAGCCCCAATTCTTGTCATTTTTCTCTCAAAGCAAAACCAGCAGACATGTGAAGACGAAAGTAGAGACAAAGAGACAGCAGCAGCTCCTGTCCTCAGAGCCGACGACAGTCTAGCAGAAGGAAGAGGAAGCAGTCCAGAGAGCCAGGGAACAAATGCGGAAGGACTTCTGGAGGAGGGAAAGCGAGCCCTGCTCTTGCCCTGTGGGCAATTTTTCATAGTTAACTTCGTGTCCTCCGTTCTCAACTTCCCTGGGAGTGTATCAAGCCCAGGACAAATCTTCTAATATGAACAGGAAGTACTGGATCACATGCAGGCCATCCTCTGCTTTTATAAATATGAAAACATGTATCACAGTAACTGTATGGAAGTAGAGCAAACAACTTACACATGATAAGTGGTTGCTCTATCCGAGGCAGCGCTGTCCTATTGAGTGGGTTGTGTACTGTACAAGGACATCTGGCCAAGGATTAAGTGGGGACTGACATCCAGCTGGTACAGGATTGTATTTATCTGGGAAAAAAGGCGTCCCTTTTCCCAATTTGTACGGGACACCATTCAGCCATTAGTTAGTGGTCCTGAACCTGAGAGGTCAAAAGTATTTTTACAGTCAAGTGTTTACAGGGTAGCCTTTTCTTTCCTGTTGTCCTTTCCCTTTATCAACCAAGTCTTCCACTTAGTCCAAGGAGCATCCAACTGAGGGCAAAGATCCTCAACTGAGCTCCATCTCAGAAACAATTGCATTAGGCACAGAAAGAGTAAGCCCCTCATCCCTAACATTAGCACTTTCTCTCTTTTTTTTTCCTTCTACTTTCCACCAGTTTTTGGTTTTTTTTTGTTTGGTTGGTTGGTTTTTATTGTTTTTTGGGTTTTGTTTTTTTTTGTAAAGTAACTTGGGCAAAATTCAATAGAATTTTCCAACAGTGGTGCATGCATGTACTGTTTAGCAAAAGGAGCCGCTGACGGCAGCAAGCTGTGGCTGCAGGTGGCACCATTTAGAGGCAGCTTAGATTCTCTTTTCCAGCGCCTGG